GCTCCATATGATAGTTAGTACACGTTCCTACCCGTCATAGCATAGCGTATGCGGCGGGAGTGGGCGGGATCTATTTTTATCCTCCAATCACAGGTCGGAGCAATTCCTCTGTTTAGACGCATGTCTGCTGCAGGCATTGCCGCCTGCTGCAGTCAATGTACGCGGGCTATAGTACTAGAGCTAGCTAAATATATTATGATCAAGTTGTCATGCTGTATACTAGTAGATTTTAGTGGTGGTACCCAGGGCCTGTTTTATAGCTGTGTGATGACGTTGCAGATGTGTCTGCATATGTTATTGTTCGTATAGTACTTTTTTTTCCTGTGTGCCTCGTGTGCAAAGTTTACACACCTAAAAAAAAAAAAAAAAACCACATGAATGTTGTACAGCAGTCATTGATGTAAGACACGGAATATTAATGTCCGTAATATTTACACACGAGATTTGCAGAATGACTCAGCATCTGCTTGTTCAAACTTGGATGCAGTATTTTAAATACGCATGATTCTGGTGTATTCCGTGTCTGATTGGTTAATATTGCAATCTGTTAAAAAAGTTGCATGGTCAGGGTCTAATATTATCAAGGGTACATAATAGCTAGGAGATCTCCTATTATGTACTCTTGATATTATACTATTGTAATATCGATATAGTTATGAATTATGATGTTATAATATTATTTTTCCCAATACATTCATAAAATGATGGTACATTCTGAATATGTTGAAGCTAGAGTCTAGAGTGACCTTAGATTAACGCCCGTAGGGTCTATATGTCTCCCTGACCTCTGTTTGACCTGGCTCGTTTAGCTATTTCTGACTAACCCTAACCCTAACCCTATATATATTAGTCAGAAATAGCTAAACGAGCCAGGTCAAACAGAGGTCAGGGAGACATAGACCTTATCTGCGAGATTAACAGATCCACTATGAAGCTCACCATACACAGTGCTACAGTAAGTGTGCAGTAACGAAGCCACTATAGTCAGTCTGATTGTTTTGTGTCAACAATTTTGGTGGCAAGCGCTGTAAAAGCGATATAGTGCAATAAGTAAAAGTGTGATAACCTAAGAGCCCAAGGTTCTATGACAGCAGAGAATATTTACGTGACACTAACAGTGGGAGTTCATAAAATAAAAGAGAATTCCAATTTACTATACGATTACACTAAGTAAAAATAGTTTGAACTCAGCTTATTTACTGTTTAACATGTATCGCTTTTAGCTCACCTTGACATCGTCAAGCTGAGCTATTGCCATTGGTCGTCGTCCGTCGTACGTACGTCCGTCCGTCCGTCCATCAACATTTGGCTACGGTCAACGATAACTCAGGAACCGTTTGACCCACATGTTTGAAATTGGGTATAGTTGTTACTGCTATGCTCCAATAATAGACGTTCTATTTTGGAGCACGCCAGTCGACGTACTTTCGAGCCACGGCAATCTTTTGGCAAAAATGGGAATTGCCATTAGTCAGTTCAGGTTCAACGGATTTTGCTCATTTTTGGTATGTGAATGAATAAGGGCTAGGGGTTTTGATATAAGAAAAAAAAATTATGCAAATTAGGTAGGGTTTGGCAATTATATAGCATATTATATAGACATGCAGATAACAAACAGTCTGTGGTGTCACACGCGTCTGGTTCGTATTACAAGATTTCATTGACAATATCTTTAATGCAAAATTCCTGCTATGAACATATTAAGATTTATACTATTATTATTATATTATTATTATTATGATTAAATGATTTATGCTAAGAAACATCAAAGCAGGTATAGCGTCATCTACCGTCACAAATTGTGATTCATTTTGGTTTATAAATTATTTATTATTTTCACATAAAAAATTACACATATAATTATCAAGAGCATATAATGGGAGTTATCCCATATATACTCTTCGTTTCTATAATGTACGTCGATGGTTGCTCAATTAAAACTGACTTCTTCTCACTGACTCATTTGTGTCCTTTTTTGTGGTGAGCTACATGCAGTGTCATTGACACTTTCATTATAAATGTCGTGATATGAATGCTGCATATTGTATAATGGGCTATTTTACTGTGATTCTCCAATACATCAACTTATGGGATTCACCAATACACCAGGGAATTGTTACAACCCCATCTCTTCTCCTGTCTAACCCTTTCCAACTTTTTTCACTTCCATCTTCTCCCCATCCCTTCTCCTTTTCCATCACATTCGCATTATTGCCACCTTCCTAGCCCTTCTTTATCTTCCTTTTATCTTTTCATTATCACTTCTCAACAACTACCCTTTCGACCCTAGGAATCTCCAACCCTCTCCACCTTCTTCTCCCTAGTTACCTTCTCTCCACCCTTTTCCCCTCTTCCAAACTTTGACAACGTGTGAATATGTTTTTTAATGGATGGAACCCCCAGTCAATATGTGCATTGATCAAGAAAGAACATACAGAATACATATATATATGTACAGAAGTCTGGTGTGACATTACTAAAAATACGGGGCAATTATGTACTTTTTATGTCTTGCTTTGTTACAAATCAACCTAGCTATAGCATTATTCACCCAATAGGAAAGCATATAGCATAGTGTAATCACCAGTTATTGTTTATTTATTGCTATTCGCATAGGTGGTGAGCAGCCTGTAGTATATCTCTGCATGCATGTACGGCCAACTCAACGGGTATGCAGTTAGGGTATAATCTTGCAGAGGTTGAATTAGTAAATTGAGGTAAGAAACATCATGCATAGATTTGTAACTGCAATTCAAAATGATTTCGTTTGAACTTTTGTTTGCATAGGTGAAAAATGGCAGCAAGAGAAATCATTGAAGTCACCGTTGTCAGTGACATTTTGTGACCCTGGTGTTGGGTCGGGAAGAGAAAACTGGAGCAAGCCATCGAAGAGGTAGGTCTACGCGAATAAATTTGCAGCCAGCTGATCGTTAGAACACCTCGTTATGTGGTCTGTGTAATTTCTTCTCACATTACAGAATATTGCTTTTGTTATCAACCATCATTATCTATCAGCTGGCTTGTAATGTGACAAAAGTGCCTGCAAGTGATTTTTGTAGAGATGTCTGACAATCTTAAATTGACTATGTCACGAATTTTCTATGCCTGTATATTTGTAAAATGTTTGGTGCAATTTTTAGCTCACATTGACATCGTCAAGATGAGCTATTGCCATGGGGCGTTGTCCGTCGTCCGTCTGTCCGTCCGTCCGTCCGTCAACATTTGTCTACGGTCAACGATAACTTGAGAACCGTTTGACCCACATGTTTCAAATTGCATACAGTTGTTACTCCTATGAGAGAGATGTGAACGTCGTATTTTGGCGCACGCCAGTTGACCTACTTTCGAGTCACGCCCACTTTTTGGCAAACATGGAAATGGCCATAAGTCAGTTCAGGTTCAACGGATTTTGGTCATTTTTGGTATGTGAATGAATGACTGGCCCAAAACATATCACAGGGGTTTTTTAATTTTTTTAAATTATGCAAATTAGGTAGATTTTGGCAATTTCACTATGCATTTCAGTGTCTGCCTACGGTCAACGATAACTCAAGAACCGTTTGACCCACATGTTTCAAATTGCATACAGTTGTTACTCCTATGGGAGAGATTTGAAGATTCTATTTTGGAGCACGCCAGTCGACCTACTTTCGAGCCACGCCCACATTTTGGCAAAAATGAAAATGGCCATCTAATTCATTCGATTTTGTTAAATTTTCCTACCTACCTACCTACCTAATCATACCTACGTGTAATATTGTGTTTTAGATTCTTCGTTACAGTAATTTGACTGGAATATTTTATTCGCTTTTTTTGCGCGCGATATTGCGAAAACCAAAATGGCGATCATTTAGGCGTAGCGCCAATCCCTGCGCCCAGATTTCAGACTTTCAGATCTGAAACATTTATTTTCGCATCAAAACTAAACCTGAAACAAAACAGTGAAATTTCTCTTAGTATAAAATGGAATAAGGACATTTGATCACATTTCAGTCCGTCATAAATGAAACACTTGCCAAATTTTAAATATCATCTCCCTCTTCTATCACACCCAAGGTGAGTTATAGTGTCATTGACACTTTCATTAACATAAAAAGTGAGTACTAACGGCACTAAATGTATCCTCAAATTCTTACCTGATGAGATTGTTTCTCAACTAGTTAAAAATCCAAAAAAACTAGGCGATTTGATATATTGATCACGACATTAAATGCTTGCTATGGGCTATGTATGATTCACGAGTGTTTGTTCACATCGAACGGAATATCAAAATAAGAAGTAAAATGCAGCAATTTAACCATGAAAAGTGAACAGAATCACTTACATTTTGTGAAAAAGTGGACATAATTTTTTTACTTTTGTTATTTATGGTGACGTAATCACTTTAATTGATTGACCACTCCTAAATATTCAGTCTATATCTAACTAGGTGAAAGCCAAGTTCGATGTGCATGTCCGATGGGATCCATTTCTTCTCCGACCACAAATGCCGAGAGAGGGTATTCGAAAGCCTCCAGAGACGCCAGAGAATCCCAGGTCGGTTGGCACTGACTAAGCATGTTCACACTGTTATCTGTTATATTATGATGACCATGTTCTAATTCGAATTCGATCAGTTTCCACAGAGCAGAGCAGGCCTGTTGCAGCAGGTGATTTGGGATGTTAGGCTTCTTCCTCATCTTTCCCTGCATAAATATAATGAAAACCCTCTGTAACTGGAGAACCTCTCTAACACTAATGTAAGACTGGTATTCGTTGTTCTTCGTACACGTCGGTCAGTGAGCGTAGACAGTGATGGTCGAAGACGTCTTGTATATTATAGACGGCTTTATTTTAATACATATATATACGACATCCACACGCACCCTACCAACGCGGGTGCCACGCCTGGACTCCCCGGCCTTCTCGATTCTCCTTTTCGCTTATCTCCCGACCTGGCATCTCATGTCGTGACGTCACTCGCTCATTGTCCAGTGAGCATATGACGTGCCGTATTGATTGGATAATTATGCTGGCAATGACAATGACTCATATTATTGCATCATCTCCCCTGCTATTGCGCAATACTTTACAGTGCCACACTAACTAATGCTCATAGGGTCTATGTCCCCCAGGGTACTGCCGGAACGTACCCTGGTCACGGTCCGGTATACCGGAACGTATCCTGGTAACTATCTGATATGGTTAGGGTTAGGGTTAGGGAGTAAGCGCATAGGAACGATCTCCCTAGACTCGTTAGTGGAGTAGGCGAGGTACGGTCCGGCATATTAGATAATACCAGCAGAGCATATAAATGTTGATTTATATGCTCTGGTACCAGGGTACGTTCCGGTATACCGGACCGTACCCAGAGTACGTTCCGGCAGTACCCTGGGGGACATAGACCCTCTCAGCCTAACTAATAGAGTAGGCGGGGTAGCATTCCAGGTTGTAAGTGCAAAAAAGGATACCACACCTTTAATAGGATAGACGGAGCAATATGAAAATGTGCCAAATGTGCTCACTTGTGCATTTCACCTTGCAGGGTGGAAAGCAGGTTGAAAGAGGCAGGAGTAGTGTGGCATTGTCTTCACTGGCAAGTGTGACGCATATCCGAATACTCTACAGGCACACGCACTGGTAGAGTATACACTTAAATGGCATGGATGGCAGAAGCAGAATGAGATGCAAGAGCTGATATTTAAGGTAGGCATGGATTTTGTGCATCTGTGATCCACTGTAGCCAATGAAATTCAACACCATTTATGCAGATTCTTTCTGACTAAGATAAGAATTTCACGTGTTGCATTCATGAACTACCGAACACCGACTCCAAAGCAGTAAACATTTTTATTTTTAGGAACAATTGTATGAATGCCAACTCCCGAAGTCAAGGTTAGCGCTTCCATGTACCTGTAAAATTATATAGTTTATTTTCAATTTTTATAAATAAAGGCTGCATTTGTACAGTTTACAACGCCATCTAGAGATACATGATACAAGATTGCGTGGACAGCTTTGCTGTTGATCCTAAGCGCTGCGCGGGGGATGAGACGCGCAGTTCGCGCGGGATATGCGCACGCGACCGCAGCGGATTTCAAGTATGAAGCGGCTGTCCGCAGTGGAGACGTGCCGCCAAATTCGAGGCCGGCGCACGTCTCCACAGCGGTCAGGGATCGGTCTGTAGTTTTAGAAGATGACAATGATTATATATGGACGATATTCTAGGAATTGGAGTTTATAAACAGTAACAAAAATCGCTCAGTCATGCTCCAGATTAGCTGAATCAAAAAGATTAGAATTTAATATGAACAAAACAAATACAATGGTAATAAATTCACAAAAAAGAAAGGATAGAGAAGGAGATATTAATAGGCAACAAGTAATCAAAAAATGCACCAAATATTCATACCTGGGGATTTAATTAATGATATAGGAGGTTATAACGATATATGATAAGAGTCTGAACTGAAAAATGTAGGTTCATGATGAGGAAATATTATCATGGGCAGAAGAGCAAAATTATGGAAATCATACTATAGAAGCAAGAGTGAAATTATACGAATGCACAGTTTTACCTTCCTTCCTAAATAACAGTGAAAATGGACTTAAGGAAGAAGTAAAAATGTTGGAGGATTTCTAAAATGAGTCCCTGCGCAAAATAATAATCACGCAGAAAACGCAGAAAAAATCTAACCGAAAGGGCATTGAAAAGACGATGAAAACTCCAAGGAAAGATACGGAGAAATCAGTAAAATACATATAGTTTCTATACGTAAATCGTGGTAATACATTAAAAACGGCATTATTATTGAAAAATCCCCATATTTTACTTATAAAACATCAAGAGATAGCGCTGTCCTGTAAAACATTGCAAATGCATCGCTAGACTGGTACGCGGTCGACAGTTCCACACGCTACACTAACAGCCGTCAGTGTAGTGAGCATACTTGCCGGAGTGAAGGTGGCGAACGGGTAGCCAGTCTAGCATCGCCGGGCATTTCATTATTTACGAAAAGTAAACACAGTAGACCAGGAACTGGTCACGTCGGTGACGCCCCATCATGCCCATCAACGAAGAAGTGGGGCTTATTCTGTTTACGGAGATGCGAAAAAAGCAACAGAAGGACGCTAGCGCAGTGCGCTAAACAGCGTGTTATTTTCGTTTTGTGCCAAACTCTATCGTAGGAAAACCGTTCTAGCCTAGCAGGATGCCCCTAGTTCCTGAGATCGCGATTCGTTGCTCTAATGGTATTATACCTAAGAAGTTATAATAGAGCAGCGTGCGGCAGTAGACTGTGATTGGAAGACACAAAGTGTCCATCCTCGGCACGCCTCGCGCATCATGGCCGCATCACGTCTCAGACGAGACCGTGTGTACATGGATTGGCAGTTTGCGCAAAATGCCGTTTCCCCCACCGGCATGAGCCGGTTTAAAGCCGCGCACTTTCCGCGGGACTGGCGCGCACGCGACCCGGTGTGTGCTAATGTAGCAGTTCAGCGCGCGCCGCTATACGAATTCGCCGCGCCGAAGGAGGGGCGCGTCCCTCGCGCGCGAATCCGTTATTAGCGGGAAGACAACATCCCAGTTTCTCACACCTACACCGGCTCGGCTACGGCGGCGATTTGCTGTGCTGGCTGTGTGCTTGTGCGCGCTGCCGCGCAGGGGCGAGCTTATTTGTTGCTGCGGCCTGCCTTTGCCAGGCAGTATCTAGAGATTAGTACATGGTAAAAACTGGCACGCCACGCCACCACGTAGCTCGCGTATTCGTCCGGCCAGCGCAATATGTTTTTCAGCAAAACGGTTTATAACCATAAAGGCCCGCAAAGAAGCTATTAGCCGCCTATGTGATTGGTTGCTTTCGATTTGCTTTGCCATATGACAAGAGAACAAATAAAACCCATTTTATGCGTGTCGATTTGCTTCCCCAAAAGTTGAACCTGGCGTCTACTCGGGCCATGGCCCTAAATACGTTCGATTTTGGCAGTCACGTGGTATTTTTTTCAGTTACCCGGCGTCAACCCGGGTGAGAATTGAAGTGCAGCGGCTCGCCGAGGTGCCTCACTTTGGGGGGGGCGAGTATCCACAATCCATTGCCAACATGCCACCAATGCATGGCCGACGAATATCATTACGGACAGTGCACCATGCCAATGAATGTAGCCAGTCGTGAATGGCTGCCGTGTGTTGCTCATAAGGACGGTGAGTGTGCATAGGTAGATGTTTATTAGCTGAACATGCTCAATTCAGATTCATTTATTTTTGCCACTTTCATTCATTTGTACAGATAATTTCAGCATAGAAGGTTAAAAAGGAGCGAGACAAATAATAATATTTATAGAAGTTATCTCTCTATCTCAGCCGCCTCATGTCTTAGATTTCAGTTAATAATAAGATGGAATTGCTATTCTTTTTCTTGTCACTGGCATTCCATGATAATTCAACCTGGCGGCTAACCACAAAAACCTGTTCGTTATCTTCCCTAACCCAGAATGCGTTCTGAATTTCGTACCTAGGGGTTAACCCAGGTGGCTCTGTGGAAGCAGAATCAACGCACTATGTGGCAGAATGTTTGTTGTGGGTTTATGACGCTAATAAGTAGCGTTTCTGATGTAAGTTTCAAATGATAAAACATATCGTTTTTCCTCATTATTATAAACATATAATATCACGATAATATGCAATTCTTTCCTGCAAAAGTGTGTTATTTTTCATCTTCAATCGTTAAGTTGATGAGAGGGTCTGGGGCTCGATCGTAGATATTGCGTAGCGAGGCGTATGCACGCACGTCGTATCGTGTGCGCGAGGATCGAGGAAGGAGCGGAAGCTTACGACCAGCTACTACTAGAGCTCGCACGCTACTATAGTTACTAGGGCCTACGCACATTTACTAGCAGCACTAATACGTACTCGTAACTCAGTTGACGCTAGTAGTTAGTATTAACTAAGTACGTTAGTAGTCGTAAGTAGTAGCTAGTGGTGTAAACCCTGAGGTCAGCTGAAACGTAAACTAATCGGACCACGGCAACGAACGGATAAACAGAAATTCGGCAGCTATAACTTTAGTAAGCTAGGAGTTTAGCGACGGTCTGAGACCCTCTCATAGCTTAAGATTAAGCATTGAAAAATAACATATATTGCACAAAGAATGCCAATGTATAGTAATATTAGTATGTTATAATAATGAGTAAAATATGTGTCTGTTCGATGAAAGACGATACAGAAACTATAACGTTATCTATAGGCGGTTCATAAACCAAACAAACATTTGACGAAACGCCGTGTTATGGTTCTCGGTGTCTGAAGTGTGTTCTTGCAGGCCAAAGCAAGATGCGAGTTGGAAGAGAACGGCGGATGATATTGCGGTTAATGCACTGAAACTCATGTTGTTTTAAAGAAGAAGCATACTAAAAACTACTTATAACCTCACTTTACAGAAAGTTCGGAAAGTTTTATGCGTAGATAATTGGGGGTCATTTTGGCTACAATATGGAGGCTGACATCTTGCCAAATTCCAGCCAATCAGAAGACCGGCCGCTAAAATCCTTCCTAAATCCTTTCCGTTTGGGAAAAACATTCGCCGCCGCGCCACGCCAGCGTAGCGTGCTCGCACGACGTGGGTTGCACGGGGGAGCGCGCGGGCGTACAGGAGGTTGCATCAAAACATGACGCACGCAGGCCAGGCGCCGTAACGGCGGCATGCATTTGCGATAGGCGATGTAACGGCCGCCGCACCCCCGTGCAGCGCGCGACGACACGTTCGTAAAAAGAAGGCTCGTGTGATAGGACCATAACGCTATACTCGGCACTATGAACGCCCGTTCAAGTCGCCGATTGAGCGGCCAACGAGCGAGCGCCGTCATCGCTGCATTGACAAGCCATGTTCTTGAGATTTCGTGTGTTAGGGTCACTTAGTCTTAGCATGAGGCGCGGCCCACCAGAAAAAAGGTGTAGGAGGGCCGTTGGGAGATGGCCTCCTGCCGTCCATCGCCGAAAATATCGGTTGCGATTGCGCCAGTTGTTCGCGTAGTGCGTTTTCAGAGCCCTGTCTCACATATCTCTCTTTAAGTGGCACAAAAAGGGGGCGCGTATTCGGCGTTGGGGCGCGGCTTCGGCCGGCGACCGTGCGTGCGCCAACCGGCCGCATCACGTCTAGTGGTGCTTCTTGTCAATTATTATAGACTTGCCATTATGCACCACAAAACATTTGTTGAAGTCAAGTTCTAGTTACACAGATCTGTTATTGGTGATACCATAAATGGGTGCATGGAAACTTGCCTTTTAACAGCTATTATTTCTATTACACGATTATGGATATTACTAGTTTCAAGTTTTAATTCATTTAAATTTTTTGTAAAACTTCATAATTTTAGCGCACGTACCTCTACTCAACTTAGAATTGATTCTGCTTCTGGCATGCCCCTTCACAACATCATTTTATTTTGTGAGGAGTTCCCCAACTCTATACGCAGAGGCTCGATCGTCTCCCTGTAGAGTGTCATCGTAATCTGGGACGTGTGCTCGACTCTATATAGGTGGTGAACAACAATAGATGGCGTCCATAGGCAGCAGGCCTGAATAAGCATCGAACAGATATTAATTAAAAATACTCACACTGTTACTTTGCTTACACAACATACACTTTATTCATGTTAAATAACTATAGATTCATGCTCTATGCTCCGCTCGAAACTTCGAAACCAAAAGAGGCATTTTCTAGAAACGAAATAGTGCAACGGTGAACAATTGCGGAGGCTTACTGTTGTACACCTATATGCACAGGCTAATATCCCTACTGAATATTACCAAGAGTCCATAATAGAACATTTTCCATTATGGACTAAATTTTCTATTATGGATTCTTGATATCACCCGAGGTAAATAAACGACGTTTCTGGCTACGTTAGTTGCTTCGTGTCGGGGGACTAATATCGTAAGCGTTTTCAGTGACGTCATGCCACCTCTCGCTTACAGGGCTACTTCACCGACGGTATCTACCCAGGCACGGTAAACCTGGTGAAGCTGGCCGGCAGCTGCGGCCTCGACAAGTCCGCCGTGAAGAAGTACATCACCGACGCGCCGACACTGGAAGCTGTGCGCGAGAAGGCGCGTGACGCATCGCGGAAAGGCGTGTCAGGTAACGCGCGAGCGAGCGACGGGCGAAGATGACACGCGCATATAGATAATTGGTTCCACTGTGCGACGGAAGAATATTGTAGGAATGCGTGACGCCGCTCTCTGTCTGCTCTATACAAAAATTTATTATACAACATAAAAACAAAGAATTATATATAGCATTTATCATATTCTGGCACATCTGCCTTATGGTATCTGCTATATATATATATATATAGCATTTATCATATTCTGGCACATCTGCCTTATGGTATCTGCTATATATATATAGGGCCATGTACTGGTTTTCATAGGGCTGTATGCATGTGTACCAGTCACCTAATTACATGATATAGGCGTGAATACCATGCAGCATTTTGAGCGCATGACATAGTGGCATGATCATGAAAGACAATATAAATATGATTTTAATCAAATCTACTTACTTTATCACAATTTGTTAGCTGTGTCCACCTATAGAAAATTTAATTTAGCTCCCGTGACATTATTAATAGGTTTATACAATAAAAACCCTGTTTTTTTTCATGATAAGAAACTCATTTTCTTTTGATATATGACGCAGCACATTGAAAATCATTCCTTATATATCTGACAACTTAATGCTAGCTAATATAATCTTCCTGATAAGACCAGATTATTTCTATGATTGGCTGGTTAAACAGACTGAACAGACAATTAACCAGCCAATCACGGAAATAATCTGGTCTTATCAGGAAAGATTTCTATTAGCTAGCATTAAGTTGTCAGATAATATAAAGGAATGATTTATTCAATGTGCTGCCGTCATATATCAAAAAGAAAATGCGTTTTCTTATCATGAAAAAAGCAGGGTTTTTTATGTATAACTATTAATAATGTACGGGAGCTAAATTAAATTTTCTCTAACAAATTGTGATAAAGTAAGTAGATTTGATTAAAATCATATTTATATTTATATTGATCGATCTCACTGTATTCTAATCCTCGTTTTCAGGTGTGCCAATGTTCTACATGAACGGACAGCCGTTGTTCTCTGGTGCTCAGGATAAGTCTTGTTTTGTCAACATGTTTCAAGTCATTGCCGAGAAATACCCTTATGCTGGTAGGACTTCCCAGGAAAAATCCACATGAGTTGGTGTATCTGCGGCAAATCCTGTTAATATACTCTGAGGATAATCATCAATGGTAGCAAGTCTTTAGACATTACTGCAACACTGATCTGTAATCAACACGTCTGTTAGATGTATAATTTATTTGCCTTGCGACTTAAATGTAGTACAGTGTATTTCCGTACAAAATCAACGGGTACTATAAACATTATAAACTTACATGCTGCTGCATGGCATTATATATTGCACTACCTGTAAATGAATCTGTGTTGTTATTGAAAATCTCGTCGTCGGTCAGTCATCATGGTAGTAAGTTACAGCAACAGTGATCCAGTGACCTACACGTCTTAGGTTTAGAAATTTGTTGTGCTGTACGTAGTTCAAATGTTGTATTTCCAACAAACTTTAAGGCTACTATAAACTTACATGCTGTCACATGGCATTATATGGTACAACCCTAAAATGAATCCGTGTTATGATTGAAAATCTCTATTAGGTGTGTTCAATCACGTAATGTTAAGATATTGTTACCAGATTCTTTGTAATATGGCTGTAAAGTGTGCTAAAACGTAGAATTACAATAGTTTTTATCAACTAGTAAGGGTAAATTGCTGTTCGTGATTAATATATGGTATCAGCACAATACATAATCAACTTTGCTTTATATAAATTGTCACGAGTGAATACATATTTTGTTTGTTTGTTTTGTCAAAGACTTGTTATTAAGAATGTGCAGTATTCCTGTCGCTATTGCGGTACTTGTCAATTTGCGGTACTTTTGTTAGACTGGTACCCGGTCCCACCGATCGGCTTATACCCATCGAGTAATCGAGGTGGGAGCGAGTACCAGTCTATACCTTTGTCAAAGACTTGTTATTAAGAATGTGCAGCATTCCTGTCGCTATTGCGGTACTTATAGAATACTGGATTTCATTTTAATGACGGGACTTCGGGAAATGCAGAATGCACAGCAAGTTCTTGATAGTAATATGAATTAAATCCACTACTCTAATAAAGCACCCATGCTATTTATGACTTTGTTATAGTTCTTGTTATGTGTGTGATATAGCCTATGTGTGCACATGCATGTGCTTTCTGTAATGAAAGTATCGGATGTCCAGACATAATTGGGTACACAACATTTATTCATGCTTAGCATAAACATAGCCGAGCCCAGAGAGGACTGCTTTCAGTAACAGTCTACATACGCGGGTATACGCGTAGTGATGAGGCTACAAGCTAGTTCTGCATAATATTACATGCCCTTTCTTTTAGAAGAAAGATAGTCCTTCAATCATGAGTAAAAACTGAACTTTAAAGACCTTTGAATTATGCTATCCGAGTAGTAACCAACATGACGTTAATGTTAATGCTGCTAGAGTCTTGCTTGGACATTTTCCACGCTAACTGTCAATAGTCACGATTACTTCTACAGTTCAACATGACTGTCACAAAAACTTAACGTTATAGCAGCCGAATATCCAACCGAATTAACTAACCCAAATATCAAAGTTATACAACACGTATGCACTTGATTAGCGTTCTCCACTACACAAATGCCTGACTGTATTATATTGTTAACACAAATTATAAATCGAGCTTTCTCGGATTTTTGACCATTCCGCCTGAACGGTTATGATAATTTCAGGAGCGTATAATGATAAATGACATTTGTCATTATACGCTCCTGATAATTTGGATAGTCACTGGCACTCCCAGTATTTGGAACACGTGCTGGTTCACTCTCAATCGTTGCCTTGAATCTGATGTGTTTTGTTGGGGACCTCACATCTATCTCTGGGGGTGGAACTGGTTCCTGGTCATCTTGTCCTGGGGGATATGAGGGGGTTCTCAATTCCTCATTGGTTTTCCGGATGAACCGACGATTCCTCCTGAGATTGTTGACGTCAAATGTTTGCACGTCATACGAACGTGGTGCCACATGTTTTTTTGTGACGAGTGCTGGCTTCCACTTGTGTGTATTCTCATCCTGTACTCTAACCGATTGACCTGGGGACAGAGGGGCTAGTGTCTTAACAGATTTCTCGTTGTGATACAATTTTTGAGTTGCTTGACGCTCAAAAAGTCGTGAAACTGCATCCTTGTCGGCTGCTTCGTTGGTAATCTTTACTGGAACATTACTTCTGAACTTGCGAGAGTTCAGTAGTTCTGATGGTGATGGCAAGTGGCAATCCACGGGTGTGGATCTAATGATCAGCATTGCCATGTCCGGATCAGTATGTGCTGCTTTGGCTTTAGCAAGTATAGTGTTGTAGGCTCTTGCCTCTGAACACTCAAGCAAACACGTCTGTTTCTGTTCATCACACAGGCTCAAAGACCCCGTATGTTTTATTCTCACCGTGACGTGTTGCATATACAATAGTGTCATAGATCACGTGTTCGTAAACGAATACAGAAAGTAAAGCATAACATACTAACTACACTACATTCCTCCTCTACTTGGATTAAAAATTATATTCGTCTGCATCAACTTTAGACTCATTTTCAGTATCTGTATATTATAGACACATCGGCTAAACTGGACTTCGAATGTAAACCTTTATGCGTTAACCAAACTTGTTCATCAGTTAAACATTTGAAAACAGTAATCTCTACACTAGTAGTAAGTCACAATATAAAATCCATTTCTTTAACAAACAGCTATGTTTTAACCTACAGCTCCTAACGTCGTCTGTAAGTTACCACAAATCTAAATATGCATAACAAACTCTTTGAAACGCGCAGGCGCTTGCTTGGTACGTGTAGAGCGTCTGACGTTCCCCTCTGCGTTGTCGCGTAGAGCATCGTGTGGTTCGTCCAATGGTAACTCCACCATTGCTTCATCATCCATTTCTTCTCCATTCGCGACTGGATGTACGCGTTTGAACTTCGAAAGATTGCGTGTTATCTCATGATCTCCCCGCTTAGCGGTTACCATGCTCCCTTTTCGATTCTGCACCTTGTATGGTCGTGGATCGTACGGTGTAGACAGCTTATTCGACCTTTGCTGCTTCACTATGACCGTATCACCAATTTGAATCCTACTCTCTCTTGCATGGTGTTTGTAGTCAGCATAGGACTTCATCTTGTCCTTCCTCTGCTTATCGACTGCACGAATATCTCGAGCTTCCCTGTCTCCCTGAAGTTTAGTTTTCTGGAGTTGTACTTCATCTTTCTCGCCCGTTGTTAGGGCTCTCTGCTGGTGACATCCAGATGCTCACTGAGGCGACGCTCGCTCGATATTGGACCGAAGAAATCGAACTAAATCACGCTTCCAATCTTTGCCTTGCGATGTTAGACACACGAGATTGTCTTATTTCCAGTTTCTCTGACAATCCGTTCAGTTCTCCATTTTGCCTGTCGGGGCCACAACGGCTTGTATACGTCGTGATGAATCCCAACTCTTCTGCAAACATGAGAATTCTGCTGATCATTAAACGGTGTCCGTTGTCGGTTTTCACTGTGTCTGTATACCTTGCCTGGGCAAATATGCTATCCAGAGAGACCGCGTACAATGATGCGTCGCAAAAGGATGCGTTGTTCCCGCGCGAAAGGGTTAAGCGAGCACATTCCGCGGGGACTGCGGCGCACGCGGGACGCGGGATGTATAGTATAAGCTCCGCCGCTATACGGAAATTCGCGCGCCGAAGTAAGGCGAGGCGGCGAATGCGTATAGCGGCAGGGCTACATCGCCGCAGTTTTTCGGGACACGTACATCGGCTCGGACATCGGCTTTGCGAGGGGGGCCTTTGCGATTATAGTTGACACGCGTTTGTACATCCTCGCGTCGTACCGTCACTGCCGTATTTTCGTACCTTAGTCTGGCGTTCTTCCCACTCTCTTTCTCTCTTCTCGCACTCGCCACGGTCTGCGTCTCTCTCTCTGCTCGCTCGCTCGCCGCACGGCGTTATACACATACACTATATACATGCGCATCAATGTCGCAGCCTGGCACACAGCATGCACTTGCAGCGTTTCAATAAATGTAATGCTAATAAATCAAATCTATTTTACTACGACAGTCACGCGGCCAAACTCCGAGGGGAGGCTGGAATGTCGCGCTCCGCGGTTTCTTCGTAAAAACCATGTGCATTTATATATAATTTGTGTGTTCAGTCCGGCGCCGTCGCGGCGTATTGTAGGATTAGCTACGGTGTAAAACTGCCACGGCCACGCCAGTACGTGCCGCACGGGACCTGCGTGCGCACAGCCAGCGCGGGTTCAAGAGGTTTGATAAAACTTCGCACCGTACGAGCCTAGGCGCTTTTGGAGGCATAGATAGCATCTAGACGCCGCCAGCCACGTGGCAGCGCGTACACGTCTCGTTAAAACCTTCTGTGATAGGGACGTAACGTTATATGCGGCAGATAAGCGCCTTGTCATCGTGTAACGCGGCCAATGAGCGAGCGCTGTCATGCTTATTGACAGCATTTCTTGTATGGGCCACTACGTCTTGCCATGAGGCGCGCCACCCAAAAGTTTAGGGCCGTTTGGGAGATGGCCTCAAGCCGTTCCATCCGAATGTTCGGTTGGATTGCGGCAGTTTCGCGGAAGTGCGTTTCAGACCCCTGTCTAAGGAATCTCTCTACAGTGGACAAAAGGGGGCGGGCCGTATTCGCGTTTAGAGGCGCGGGCGGCCGCGCGCCTTTTTTTTTTTTTCGCCGCGAAGCTGTGCCGCTGCCGCAAAAAACCGGGGGGCGCAAGTCCGTCTAGTTTAGGAATTGTGGCTTCGATGATTACTTTGTCACCAGCTCTACCTGTTGGAAAACCTTTTACTTATACTAATCTACCACTACTAGCAAGTATCTCCGTCGGAAATGGAAACCGGCAAATTCTTTACTGCAACTTCTTTTCCATGGTTTCGCAGTAGTGTTATCATCTTTCAGGAGGTTCTGGTCCTTCTGCGTTTGTTGGCGTAGCAGCTTGGCATGGGACGAACACTGGCTTAATTCGCTCTTCCACCAAACGATCTATACCGGAAAAACCAAACGCTTACTTCCCGTACAGTTTTGGTCTTTGACGACACCTTGTGGTCGACGTGGGCCAAGTTTTCTCCGATTGCTTGCTGACGGAACGAAACTGGCAAACACAATTGGCTGTGTTCCTCCAGCACAAGACATGAGACTGCTAACTTCATCATTCACTGTCAGATTATGGAACGAGTTTCTCATCTGCCCAGTGTTCATGATTCAATTGCCACGGATTAGCCCTCTGTAGGCACCGGATCTTCTTCAAAGCATAGTTCCTCTAAACGTCTCTCACAGTGATGCCATTCGGGCACACTGCTTTTGTACACACGTAGATTTTATATAGTCCCTCGGCGCGTCCTGTCGCTGCTGCCATTGTCTGGATCCTACTCATGTAATATTACAGGATTTTCGTCGCTTTTCCTAGCGGTAGCCTGAGGAGTATACTGATACGGTAACAACCGTAAACCTCCATCGGTCAATCCTGGCAGATGCTTGCTTATGACTGGCAACTAACCAATCAAGCGGTCGCTGTGGTCTGTCGTATTATATTCGAATTCCTGCCCTTACAGATTAGAATGAAGTGTGCAGCACCCCGGACTACTGCTAACATTTCTCGTTCTGTTTCGTGAACTATCCCGCTGCTCTCAACACTCGATAGGCTGCTAGCAAAAACTAACGACTTCGTGTGGCATAACATGGCGGCTAGCCTACTGGACTTGCGCTTCATACTACCACTTCTGTAACGCTTGGTTGGACTCAAAATACTCCTCTTTGTCACAACGCTGGTCAGTTTATGCTTGAGGTTCATCAGGCTTTCTGGTGCACACCATGTCCACTCCCATTAGAGCACCTTTAATGTCGTAATGTTCACGGAGTGGTCAGACGTCACATGCAGATAATTTTGGTATAACCTGGATACATATTGTTTTGCCATTTCCTAGTAGCTCGATCTGACTGCACTGCGCTCGGGGGTACACTAGACATTTACGATACCAGGTATCTTCCAGGATGCGGAGCTGATCCGTCACGTGGGCGTGGGAGAATGGTGTCCCGTAGAAAAGT